TGTATGTATGTATATATATATATGGCAAAATACCGCGGTTCAGGTTCAGAGTTCCAGATGTCGCGGGGTTTGGAGGAAGGCGTATCGTAAGAATTAGTACTGCCAGAGTGCCAAAATGCTGCAAGAGTTTTTCCTGACCTCCAGGGTGGAACAAGGAGCCTACTATTTCCGGGCTGGGTTGGGGTCCCGACTTTCCGAGACTCCCATGTGACCAGGGTTGACATGACGAGATCCTCCTGGGAGGTGGAAAAGTCAGTCGAGAAGGCCGCTGACAAAGCACCAGCTCCTGTGCAATCTGCCGATAAGCCGACGGTGAAGTCTGCAGAGATTGATAATCTTTTCAGTGGCTGGTTCGCACTTAGCACGAAAATCATCCAAGTTCGTGATTGCTCTGCAGAAGTAGCTGCCATGGGTCGGTGCCGTGACTCAGGTGAGTTTGATGCAGTCCTGAAAAGTGGCACGAAAGGCCGCAGGGTCTTCGGGCAAGAGCCATGGCACAATGTGTGGAGATGTCGTTGGCGGATGGTGCAGATGGTGCAGCTCTTGCCTCAACTTAGACATGCCTTGGAAGCAACCTGGCTGACAGGTGATGCTGCAGCGAAAGGTAGTGGCTACAGCGAAAGCTCTTCGAAACCAGCGGCTTCCACAAGCAAAGTCGCTGAAAAGAAGGCGCATTCCTTCAGTGGCCAAGCCCTACAATTGAATCTGCATTGGCAGCCATGCGTGCAGGACATGTTCGCCGAAGTAGACGACTTTCTGAAAGAGCTCGATGGCGGCACGGGCAGCGGCAAATAGCTTGGACGCCGACCTTGGGCTCCGTGCCTTGTAGGACACGGAGGCCTTTCTAGGAGCCTCAAGACGCCTCAACACCGTTTCACTCCAAATTTCAAGAAGCACGACTCGCACGACTCGCACTTGTGCACACTTGTGCAGGTCTTGCTCGGTTATTGCGGATGGGACTCCACCCATTGCGCTGCTGGAAAAAGCTTGGCGACCCTTTCAATGAATGTCAAGTTGTGCGATGTTTCAGCTCACCCCACAGGCCGAACGTAAAGCGCTTAAGGCTCATCAAACGGACTTGTCCTAGCCGATATGCTGATCCAGGTCGCCCACAAGCTGCGGTGACAGAGTGAGCGAACGGCGACGGCGCGTGTGCAAAGCAAAAATACACTGCAGACGGTCGAAAGACCTCTAAAGACCCAAAGACCGGCGGGGAACGACGTCAATGCGTCTGTGCACTTCCCTGTGCTACGGATGCTACTGCTTGCTGTAGCTGCTGAGCATGTACCACCGCTGGTGGGGAATCGCACAGCTTCGCTTTTCGGTGCACCTGGCCAGCGCAGGTCACTCGACGACGAGACACGCCGGTACCTGGAAGCTTGGTGGTTTTTTGCACACACACGCACGCAGCCAGCAGAACCGGCAGCATGTGCAAGTGCAGCTAATCCAGTCAGGGCACCAGAATCCCAAGTTCTGTTGTTCCCCGAAGGACGTGTGGCTCCATACATCCAGCAACCTGTGTGCCAAGGAGGGTTTGCCAGCGGACCTGAAGTGTGAGGTGGGCTGCGGAGATGATGCATTGTGATGCCTGTGGTGTCCGCCGGTCGGGAGGGCGGGTTGGTGCTCGCATGTACTGTGCCCCAATGCAGGTCTTGTATGGCTTCCACCCGAAGGACGGCAAGTGCTGGGCTTGGACAAGGATGAGCTGTTTCTGGACGAATCCATGGCACCCACACCGATCCAGACATTTCGTTTCAGTAGTGACCGGACATCTTCAGTCTGTCACTTGTTGCACACCCAGCAGACGTGTTACCCTAAATTGAACGGTTATACGAATCGATGGTTGCACAGGCAAGACCCCGGAGTGCAAATTCGGAGATTCACGCAGAGCATAGCTGGGAGCCCAGAAGGTTGCGAACTTGACACGTGCCCAACGTCTGGAAAATAGATCAGTTGTGGCTGGAGAGTCGACACTACATGTAGTTTTCAATCCAGGTAGTCACAAGCTTCTGGTGGTGCAGTGACGCTGAGGCAGACAAGCAAGGCATCGTCCTTCCGCCGTCGTACGGCTCTCAGCCGGAGTTCCTGCCTCCGGAAAGACAGCCTCGGTGATCAAGGCTGCGGCTCGGGGCTGGGACAGCCACGCCAAGTTCAGTGCCTTTGGCAAATGCCAGGGGCCTTCTGTAGCCTAGCGACCCACACACCCAGGCTTGTGATTATGCCTGGACGAAGCTACCCCTTGCTTCTGCCGCACGTAGGCTGTTGGTTCAAGCAGGAGCTGACAGGTGTAGCACGACATGTTGTAGACATTGTAGACCTGGCGCAGAAGAGACCTTGACTTGATGCTAAACAGCCAACTGGCAACCTTGGGCTTGTTAGCTTTGCTCTTAATGTTCGACACACGGGAGACCGACCCGTTTTCGCTGGAATGCAGCCCCGCGCAAGCCGACTCTGCAGCGCTGGACTGTTCCTATGTGTTTACGACTCCCTTGATCGAGCTGTTGGTTGCAATCAGGGAATCCTATACTCCGTCTCTGTTGCAAGAGTGTGGTGAAGGATCTGGCATTGGAAGTCAGCGGCGAGATCTTCGTGCAGATTGTACAGGCTCAACATATCTCGAAGTGTTGTGCGGAGGGAGTGCTTTCAGTTGGGGGACGGAAAGCCTGTGCAAGTTTTACAATCTGCTGAGTCAGTATACTTTGATTGATGACAGCGACAGCGACGACAACAGTGATGAAGCAGTAATGTTGCCCCAAATGGGAGTTGGCTAGCATGCCCACGGCGCGCGCGGAAGAGAATTGCCGGGGACGCGGCTCCGCCCAATACATGGACTAATTTAATGCCTCGAAAATCTCTGGGGGGGGAAGGAGTTTGGCAGCCCTCCTGAATCTCGCCAGCAGCACGGGGGAAGCATAAGCACAGTGGTCGAGAATCCCGGCAGTGCTTGTGGGAAAGCAGTTTGGTCCTGGATCCGACAGTACGTGGGGGAAAGCATTCTCCTCTCGGGGGTCGCCCGGTGGTGTGTCCTGGTGATCCTTGTGTCCTGGTGGTCTCTTGGTGGTGTCCTGGGGTCTCCTGCTGTGGTCTCCTGGTGGTTTCTTGATGGTCTCCTAATCTTCTCATAGTCGTCTCCTCGTGGGTGGTCGTCCTGGTCGTCGTGGTGGTCCTGGTGGTCCTGGTGCTGGTGGTCCTAGTGGTCGTGGTCGTCATGGTCGTCGTGGTGCTCCTCCATTGTTTGGGGATCTTCGCTGGCATCATGGTTGGATCATGCCGTAGATGTATCAGATGTGTCTATGCACGGAGCTCCAATGCTCAGTTCATGGTGGTGTGACAATGCTCATAAGGCAGGTGTGGCTGTCGATTGCGATGAAGAGGAGCAGGATGTTTGATGATGAACTTCGTTGGACAGGCACTGGTGGTACTCGCCGCAGACGGCTATCCACGTGCGATACGTTCTACACCGGCTCGGCGGCCCTTTCGTCGCAATTTCGAAGTGGGGTCGTTGCCATGTGGTGCTGCTTGTGCTGAACACGTGCTTTTCCAATGAAGCTTATGTATTCTGATGCCCCAAGATGCCACTTGAGAATCAAGATGTGTTTCTGTGGACACGTGTGCTGAGGAATGCGGCGCTGCGCGCCCACGACGGCAATGCAGAGAAGGCGGCCTCCGAGGCCCTCGAGGAGGAGCCACTTCAGCTGAGGGAGAATGAGAAAGTGAACAGGTGAATCCAAAGGTTTTCATATCGCCTTCGACATCTTTTGCACAAGCAGGTGTGAGGTTGGTACCGGTGGCAGTTGAGAGGTGTACTGTAGCATCGTGAAGGACCATAACATTCTGCATCTTTCTAAAAGGACGACTGCGCGGAAGAGCTACGTGAGCGGCTGCTGCGGCTGGTGCCGGTCGTAGGCAGATCGAGTTGTGTCGCGAGTCCGCTAAATCGATGCAAGCTTAAGATGGATGATTCAATATCCGCCAAGCTAGGACTGCCGTCGTCATTGCTGTACCCACTGTGGAAGCTGCTTCGCAGGCTAGCCGCAGTGGCACCTGAAGTTAGAGTTTCCACCGGGCTTGGTGACAGCATTGTTCGAGACAGTGACGGGTGCATGGCATTGATGCGGCACTAGCAGCAGCTAGCCCCCATTGAGTCATGGGGTCTGTCAAAGCTCTGGCGCGGAGGACTTGCCTGGTGGCCAGCCTCTTTGGGCATGACCTCCAGCAGGAAGCTGATGTTCGCTGCATGTTCTTTTTCTGAGACCTTCAAACAGTCGCATGGCCCAGCCTTGGTGAGGAGTCCGTTTTGGCCTCTGTCCTCTTAGCGGCCGCAGGAGCCGAGCCCCAGAGCAGAGCAGCGGCGTGTAGCCGACGACGCCCTGAGACATGGCAGGACTTGGGGCAACGCCTTTAGGCGAGCGACGCCTGGAGACTTGACTGAGACAAGCCTTACAACAGAAGTTGTAGCAGCATGCGCTCGGCATGCAGCCCTGCTAGGAAATGGCCGCCAAAGCACTCTGGCAGCGCATCGCGGGGCGCTGGGTGCTTCGGGCATCTTTAGTTTTGCGGCAACATGTGCCGTTGCTGTCAACTCGAAGTCGTTGGGTGCCCGTCCCTTGCTCTGAAACTCTCGGCAGCATTGCGGCTTGCCAGGCAAAATCCTTGCCTGTGGCAGCTCTCCTAGCCCGGCTTCTGGATCTCCAAGGTGGACTCTGTCCAGGGTTAGCAAGACGCGACAATGATTGTCTTCATTCTTGTACCAGTACTCAAGGTCATCTTCATGTCTTCGTGTGCTATGGATGGCTACTACCAGTACGGACGAGAAGCCGAGTTATTGTGTGGGGAAAGACATGCGGCATGCGTACTAACGAGAGTATTGGACGACAGTAGGACTGCACGTCATGTTGCGAATACTGGTATTCATAGTCTCCGCCCTTGAGGCCATCATCATCATCACCACCATCACCACAATGGCCACATCCTTGACAACTTTCATAACCATCATGGTCAGACGCCGTCCATGGCAGCTCTAGTAGATAGGTTGGTTAGTCGCACATCGTACCTATGTGTACCTGCTGCAAAAGCACCTGGTGGCCTGATAATCTCAATCCCTTTCGGGGGCAAAACAAGATTATTGATATTGCTAGCCGCTGCTAGTCATACATACTCGCCATGGGTCCAGACACCGCCGACACCATCATCATGATCATCATCTTCAGAAGCTTCATGGGCCTCGCTAGACATGCAAGCCATACCCGGTCATCAATCTGCTGCCATTGCTGCTGCTGCTACTACTACCACCACCACCACCACCACCACCACCACCACTACTACTACTCCTCCTGCTGCTGCTGCTGCTACCACTACTACTACTACTACTACTGCTACTACTACCACTACCACTTTTACTACTACTACTACTACTACTACTACTACTACTACTACTGCATCTACTA